GCTGATTCGATTGAGTAGTATTTTGTATTAGAGGATTTAGCACTGTACTCAAAGTTTGTGCCAACATTTGCACCATATCGTGGTTGCTTTCGTCCATCTGTTGCCTCAAGACTGCTGTCGAGGCATTTGTAAGGCCATGGGCTACTTGGGACGTTCCTCCTAAGAGTTGGGTCCTATTTCTATTCGCCATGCCTACTCCAGAGCCTTGGAGTGGCGAAGAAGCACTCACGAAAGGGTCTGAATAAGTGGACGCAGCATTCGTCAGGCTTGCCACTTCAGAAGTTGGCATGCCATAGAATGGAATGAATCCTGGGGGAACCACAGGCCTTGTGCCTATATTTCCCCTTGGTGGGGGGGTTCCCAAAGGCATTCTGGGGCCTGTTAACGAAGTTATTGGCCCCGTGGTTGTGACTGACACTGCTGGTGTCGAACCAACATTCGTCGCTTCACTCACGGTCATATTAACCGTTGCTCCCACACTCGTTTGTGGGATTTCATTATTGTTTGGCGGATTCGCCATCTCTTCCCTTCTTCTGGCAGTATTGTTATCGTTGGTGTATATTCTACCACTCCTCAATAACATACAACTCGAAAAGATGAGATAATTTTTCAACAATCAACACACAGTCCCACCGGGTGTGCCAATTTGTTTACCTAGGGTTTTGGTAAACAACCGCTGATCCTCCAAATGGTTACTTATTTGGTTACTCGCAGGATCGATCAGATTGATCCTATGGACATAGGTTGATTTTGAAGTTTAATTAAGTTGGATAAGGCTTTAAGTAAATTGTTTAAGGTAAATTGCATAAAGGAAAGGCTTGGTAAAATAAACAAGGCTTTAAAGTAAAGGTTCGACAGGAATTTAAAGGAGAAAAGCAAGTAAAATACTGGAAAAGTAAATGACTTTAATTGATAAAATTGGTGTTTCACACATACATTTCTCAACAATTCTTTCGCTCACACTGGGTACTTGAATCTAAATGAGTGACTATGTATATGATTGTGAACACACGCGAGAAACTACATGTCTACTCCTATTTATACAAAAACATTCCAAGTAACCGTCGGGCAGTTACACTGCTTCGAGATTAAGCCACTTGGCACGTTCTCCATGCTCGACGCTCCAGATCCTTGCACGTTTGCACGTAGTAACTGCTGGAAACCGTTTTCCCTCCAAAGCTTTGAATTTCAAACTGCTCCACTCTGGACCATCGAACACCTTCATCAAGAGACGTCTTCGACGAAAACTCCTTCGACGTCGAAGGCAATCAGCCTTCTTCCTTGGAAGAAATCTTCTAAGTATTTTGCCATCTTTCGACGGGCACTTCGACAGGCTTAGCCAGTCGAAAGCATCTTTCAGCTTTTAATGGCTGCCACCAATCAAAACAAAGGTGTCGAATTTAGTTTCACACATACATTTCTCAACAATTCGTTCGCTCACACTGGGTACTTGAATCTAAATGAGTGACTATGTATTTATTGTGAACACACGCGAGAAACTACATGTCTACTCCTATTTATACAAAAACATTCCAAGTAACCGTCGGGCAGTTACACTGCTTCGAGATTAAGCCACTTGGCACGTTCTCCATGCTCGACGCTCCAGATCCTTGCACGTTTGCACGTAGTAACTGCTGGAAACCGTTTTCCCTCCAAAGCTTTGAATTTCAAACTGCTCCACTCTGGACCATCGAACACCTTCATCAAGAGACGTCTTCGACGAAAACTCCTTCGACGTCGAAGGCAATCAGCCTTCTTCCTTGGAAGAAATCTTCTAAGTATTTTGCCATCTTTCGACGGGCACTTCGACAGGCTTAGCCAGTCGAAAGCATCTTTCAGCTTTTAATGGCTGCCACCAATCAAAACAAAGGTGTCGAATTTAGGAGCCAACACGGGCTTTATATTTTTTTTTGAATTTCTTTTTGCTTTTTGGTTTTGAACACTTATGATTGTCATGATGATTGTTGGAAGCTTCGTGTTTATTGTTTCCATGGTCTTGAATGATGTATCGAGGAAGAAGACATTATAAACTTTGTCTTTATTGATTGCTTCCTCAATCTTTGTTGACGTGCACGAGGAAGATGATGTGCTTGAACCTTTTCTTAGATCAGTTCCTCAATGATGTATCGAGGATAGAGATATGCTTGAACCTTTGCTTAGATGGCTTGATTCTCTTGAGATTTGAATGCACTACTGAATTAATTAAAAGAATACCCTGCCCTGGTTGAAATTAAGGTTTTTTTTTAAATAGAAAAAAAAAACTCCAACTCTTGGTTCGAGGGGGTTGACTACGGATTAACTCCTTATTTCTCAATTGTTTAGGAATTGAAACAATGCCTTAGATTGTCATCTCGGTCTTAACATTGAAAGCATATGTCAGCACAATTTAGTTAATTAGTTTTCATCATTCTCCTCAAAGTTTGTTAAAGTTAAAAAATGAAAAATGGAAAAGAATGGTGAAAATGGAAAGTTGTTGATTATTTATGGAAAGTGATAGAAGAGTGAATACGAATGGATTGATTTCAAAAACATGCATGATTATTTTATTAGAACCACTAACCAAAGAGATACAAATTTACACTGAATATAACTTAACAACATAGAAATTACAATTTGGAATTGATAAAATCTAATGATCCTATGGAAGAGCTTCCTCGTTGATCCGCTTGACTTTAGGAGGTGCTTCGTAGTTCTTGGATTTGTCAAAGCATGGGGATGACTCTTGACTCTTCTTCGACCATACCAATTCTATTGATAGGGCAATGGGGGGAATCACCAATGAATGTTGAAACTGAGGTGTTGCATAGGCTTGTATAGTGAAGGGCTGCCTTCTTTTCACAATAAGGTTTGTAGGACCAAGCTCCTTTGGATCTCCAACATTTGACCTTTCCTTCACCAATCTAAGATTTTCTTGAAATGCTTGGACTCTGTTCTTGAGCATCGGGAAATTTGTTAGTTGGATTGATAGCGACCAATGGAAAAAGCGGAAATGCATGACATGCAAATGTATGAATGTACGAAAATGCATGGGTATGCAAAAATATTTTTTGGCTTTTGAGGGTATGCAAATTAGTTTCATGGGTATGCAATGAAATGTGGATGTAGTATGAGGGTAGACGTAGGGGTACCCTATACGAGTCTAATGATAGACATGATGATATCCTACACTGACTCAAAGATTGAGACAGCCAGGAACTCTTTAAGGACGAAGCTAATAATAGACATGGATATGATGATATCCTACATTGTCTTAGGGTTTGAGACATGCAGGAATTCCTTAAGGATTATGGCCAATGAAAGACGACGAGGAATCCCTACAAGCTAGGGATTATAACTGAGGGGCGGGAATTCCTACAGGCTAGGAATTGTGATAGACAATTGGGTGTTTGAGATGAATATTGGACTTGAGGGAATAACGTGGAAGAGAGCACACGGTGACCGGTCAATAGTCACCAAATCTCATGGCCTGATATAGGCCACTTAGCGTGCATTAGCGAGGGATTCCTAAGGATAATGACAAACAAAAAAGGGGGATCCTTACAGGCCAGGGATCGTGACGCGCAAAAAGGAACCCCTACAGGCTAGGAATTGTAGGCCACTTAGCGTGCATTAGCGAGGGATTCCTAAGGATAATGACAAACAAAAAAGGGGGATCCTTACAGGCCAGGGATCGTGACGCGCAAAAAGGAACCCCTACAGGCTAGGAATTGTGACATACACATGGAAGTCCCTATAGGCTATAACATACTTAAGGGAATCCCTATGGACCTAAGGTTTTTAATTGACAAACTGAAACCCTTGTGGGTTTAGGTTAGTGAATACCTTATACGGGTTTAGGGTATGTGAATACCCTATACATGTTTCAGGATAAATATAGATGAGGATACCCTTACGGGTTAATAGGATAGGATGTTGATAGAATAACCTATAGGATATCTCCTATAAAGGTTCTAAGATTTTCTACCCTTCCTTATAAGGTGGCTTCCTTAAGGGTATCATGGATTACACTAGAGGGAAAGGCACAAGGGCCTCCCTTATGTGAAGCCTCATTGTAGATCGAAACTTTCGTCTCTAGGTCATGAAAGATATCACCATGAGATTTTGTTTTAGGGTTATACAAAGAGTCATATGTTTTATTCCAAAGTCCTACCCTCAAAGAGGATATCTATTAAGACGTATTCCTTTAGCGGAATTCCATCGACTCTAAGCGAAGTCGTCATATAAACTCATAGGACTGATGTATCCCCTTGGCCAATAGACGAACCTTCTTTCTATGATTTTTGAAAATAACTTTGAAATTTAAATCCCACCATAATTAATAAAAATATAGTGAAATAAATAAATATAATAAATAAACCAAAATAAATAGATAGAAAACAACAAAAACCCTAAACCAAAATAAAAGAAACTAAACCCCAGACTAGAGTCCCCGACAGAGTCGCTGTTGTAACTGATTTTTAAATAAGAGTTGTCACTATTACTTTTTATCCTAAGGAAGGGAATATAATAGAAAATCTAAATTTCATAGATAGAGATTCTAGGTTTCAGATTTCTTTAGACTAAAAGAAGGTATTAGACACCTTTCATCTACCTTATTCTCAAGGATACTAGATTTATATTTTAAAGGTTTAGGGTAAGGGTTTTAATTTTTAGAAACAACAACACACACGTATCCAATAGACTCCCAGCTTTGCACATGTACATCTCTTTCCTTTCAATATGTCCACGTCTCTCCAAAATCGAGATCCAAGCGACAGTTTCAAGAAAAAAAAACATCATTAGGACACAACAATAGCAGTATAGGAGAAGAAGGACCTGGATCAACGATGGTTATAGATTGGAGAAAGCGAAGGAGGCATTGATGCGGTGTTGCATCTCGTCAAAGAAGAGAAATCTGAAGGTGCTATTTTGCCGTTCACAAAGGTTTATGTTCGTCATCGGAGAGGTTGTGTGGAGGTTGATGCGAATCCGGTGGATCTTCTGGCTGCTCGCAGTTTTTGATGCGGTTCTGGATGCCCGAGCGTGACTTCGTCGCCGGAAGGAGATCTGTCGATGGTGGCGGTTCAAAGTTCGTCGGCTGCTGGTCGGGAGTACAGGAGGTTCGACAATTGTGTGCGGAGTTCGAATTGCTCCATGTTCTTGGAATCTATATCAAATCCCTTTGTACCTACCCTATCATGAGAAAAAAACCCAACATATTCTTGTTATTTGATTTGTAATTTCACAGTGTAATCTGATTATGAAAATGAGCGATTCCTATATGTGCAACAAAATTTAAAGTTTATGTTTTTTATTGTAAAGTCAACTAATTTGTGGTGAGAAGTTTTAGATAGGTTGATGGTGAAGTTTGTTCCTGAGGAATTATGTTAGTAGTGAATTCACTCTAAGACTCCTCTTTTAGATAGTGTTGAAACAAAGAAACATGATACCTTTTTAATTTTGTTTTATTCACCCAAAATATGATTTTTTTTACCCATCCAAAATATGGTCTAGATTAGAGAAACAAACCACTGTAACCTTTGCATATCCAAACCAGGCTAAGATAAAAACATAAGGGTCTTAATAAGAAGAAACAAAATGTTACATCATTAGTATAAGTGTGAATTTTATTCTACTGTACTAGATGTATCAAGTATGTGTATTTATAAATATGAAATTTGTGTAGTGATGAAAAGTGTTGTGTAAAAAATTGTATGTAGAGTGATACGTTACACACATCTACAAAGTGGTCTTGTAAAAAGTACCATCAATACTTTTGTGAATGTGAATGAGCAGTGCGGGAATAGTGTATGTGAACTTTAACTGTAAATTAGTGTATGAATGGCCTCTAATAAATTAATAAGAATATAAATTTTTTTTAAAATAAAGTATAATAAGATGATCATCACATGATAAAATAATAAATAAATAAAAATTAAAAAGAACATAAAAAATGGAAATAATATGAAAGCCTCATATGAAATTATTGGCCATTTGCGGGTTATTGTCTGATATAGACAACAACATAGTTTCAGGATTTCTGTTTAGAAACCTAGTAATAAAGCAAAATAAAAATAAAATTGAATTTCTGACGATTGTGAAATTGTTGATTTGTTTGATGAATTGTGGATGTGTAGTGCAATTGTGAAATTATAAATCTGTTGATGAATTCTTGATGAAAAATTAGGACAACAATGAGTCCTATTTATAAACTCAAAATTAGGTTAAAAATACTTAGACAGTAAGCTATCCAAAAATGAGTGAAAGCCCCAAAGCCTGATCTCCAAACAAAGAAAGAAAATTAGCGACAAAAAATAATAGAAAAAATGTTAAAAGTGCTCCATAAGAGATTTAAACCCTTGACCTCATATTTGAAAGCTTCATTCCTTACCAATTGTGTTATGTTACTTATTCAAAATAAAAATCCAATTGAAAGTACATGAAGACGAGCAAGTATTTTTTTATTCAGAAATACAAATAATTTTGAAATAAATTATTATATTTTTAAATAGGCTTGAAAGCGAATATTTATAAAAATTAAGGAATATTTATAAAACCAATGTTTAAGAATATTTTTGACCGTAGAAATAAAGGGTGTGTAAATTTGGGATATGACAGCGTGTGATCAGATTTCTCTTGGAATTTCACAATCATGTCGTTCATATATACCTTGCTTTAATTAAAAGTGTTACAATCGTGTGAAAAAATTTTAAAAAAAATGTTTATTTTAATAATGTTTTTATCAAAAAATTCTCTTAAAAACAACATCCTATTAAAAACCCATTATCCTCACATTATTTTTGTAGTAAATCACTTGAAATTCAATATTTTTTGTTGTCTTTTTTCTTGACTTTTTTAAAAGAATAACGAGAAAATAAATAACAATATTTTTTATTTTCTATATAAGACTATTGACTTAGCTGACACCCTCATTTCACAAATACAATTACTTTATTGCAATAATTCTTTGATCTATGAACAAAAACTGCAATAACATTTGTCAGTTGTAAGAGATCAAATTTGTCACAACATTTGTTAATACAATAGACCAAATGCTACGACGCACATGTTGTAACATTATGATATTCAACACCAATTCTATGATGTTCAATGCCACTTCCTAATTCAAGTAACTTTTTCTTTAGGATTCCACTTAAATATGAGATCCCATCTCCTATGCTCCCATCAAATAAGAAACTTCTCCAAAGTAATTGATTACACACATTGTTATGCCCCTCATTTCCCTCATGTTAGAAATACATATATTTTTAATATACTTCCTAAGTTAAAGGTCACATCACTAATTGAGTCTCACTCTCTCTCTTTCATTATTCATTTCTCTCTGTGTATACACCCTCTACACACGTATTTTGGGGCTTACTTCAACCAACTCATACTCCTCTGGGTTTATGTTCTTTATCAAACACATCCAACGTGTACACATATTAAGCTTTATTGTTGATCTATAAGTCATTGAACTCTTTCTAATATATCTAGCCACATAAATCCTTTTGAAGTTTGATAATAAATTAAGGTCTTGACATACATTCTTCTTCATGTAGACCAAATATAAGATTTAAAGGGTGTTAGCTAAGATGATAAAACTCATTGTTCCAATTACAAAGTATAAATAACATATATGTTATATTTTAAAAACATCATTTATTTAAATTGATAAAGAGGTACACTTTACATACTTGATTTCTAGAGTTGTTCATGATATAATGTCTCTCCACAATATTGTATATTGAAAATGATTTTAAAATATTACACGCTAAGATAATTACAAAGTCAAAGAAAAAATTAATGAAAGTCTCATAACTATATGATAATTCAAAGATATATGATAATAAATTGAAAATGATATATGATAATCAATTGAAAATATTCTCTGAATGAACAATACAAGCATATTTAATTAATATTTGGTAAAACATGAAACTAACTATATAAGAGAAACCATAATTTTAAAATTACTAACTATTGAGAAATGATGCTAAGTAAAAATCTTTTCTTAGCTATCTGTGATGTTAAGTAATTTGAATTTTTTTTGGAGAATTACTTGTAAATCATACTCTATCTGGATCTAATAATCCATAAGTATCTGATTTATTTAATTCTATACAAACACGATGAATGTTTTTAAATGGTTACACGAAATATAAAAAACACGTGAGGAATTAGTTCTATACAAAATAATGGATGTACCATAATGACATATACTTATGTGCACAAAACTTATAGTAACCCTACGTCCTGTAAGAACAAGATTTGGATCTATGTTTAAATCTCTATGTTTTGATGATAACAAACATATATTTTATGAAGAATAATTTTAGTTCTATTAGTTTCCTTGAGTGTGCAGATACATGAATATAATTTTGGATAGTCTTAATCAAGATATCATCAGAATCACATTGCCACTCAGAAAAAGAACCATTAAGTTATGTTTCTAATGAAACATCAGTAGTTCTATGGAATACTGAATGTTCAACAAGAAAAGAATCTCATAGAGTTTCCAAGAAGAAAGCAGTTTCTGATAAGTTGCTTCTACAAGATCAGAAAAGAGTATATAAGAAACAAGCTTACAACGCAGAAGATCAAAAGTCAAAATTCGGTCATTAGAAGATCGAAGGATGATATCTTCTCAAGATAATCTACTCAAAAGAAGTAATATTCATTAGAAGATATAATTCATCAGAAAGACCACTGCACTCAACAGAAGAAATAATGTAACCACTTCGTATAGAAACATCAGTAGTTCTAAGGAATGTTGAATGTTCATCAGAAAGGGATTCAATACAAGGTCAAGATCAGTTAGAAGGAACTCAATATGAAAAATCAGATGTACTAATATAAGTTGTTGCTTCAAAATTCAAACATCAGATATGCAACTTAAAAAAGCTGATAGTCAAAGTATCAAGACAAGATTAACATGTAGTAGATCAGAAGAGCTTTCACTCAAAAAAGTTGTTCATAAGATAAGTTATTACTTGTATATCTGAAGACAATGTTCAAATATCTGAAAGACAATGACTCTACAACAAAGAAGAATCTTTTAGGTCATTATCACTCCTTAGATCTGAAAAAATCCAGCTAGAATAAAAGAATCAAAGCTCAAGAAATTAAAGACTTGATAATTAGATAGGTTGTTGTCTTAATATCTTATTTCAATCTCTATCATCAAAAAAGCTTTTGATATCTTCATCAAAAAAGCTTTCAAGAACTATCAAGACTTATTTTATTCAGATAGGCTGTTGTCGATTATTCTGAAAACAAGAATCCACTATTGAAAGAAACTGAAGAAAAACATCTTCTCAAAGAAATATTCCTTTAAGAGTAGTTCTAGTTCAGAATAAAAGCTTTGTGTTTGAGATAGGTTGTTGCCCATAATTTTGAAGACAAGATTTGGTTCTGTTACTCTGGTGTTCCTGTCCTACAACAAAAAAGTAGTTTCTGAACTACTCATCAATCAATCATCAGAAGAACGAAGAAAAAGTGATTGATCTGTTCCAAGGTTAATACTTCAGAATCAGAAGTACATCATCAGAAGATAAAGATCAAGAAACTTATTCAATAAGAAAATAGTACAATAACAATATTATTCATAGTATTTGCTATCCCACTCACGTATGCCATTACTGTAAGCAGCGGGTACAGGAAAGTGACATTTCGTACAGTTCCAAACCACTCTTGTATATGTCTGTTGGGATTCAACCGTTGGAAGGAGAAAAGACTTCTCTATCCTTACAATGACTTTTTTCATCTGGAGGCTATATAAAGAAGACTAAAGCTTAAAATTTAAATTGAAGAAGATATTGGAGAAGAAGACAAGGTCTAATTCCAAACAACGTTGTTGTTCTTAATAGAAAATATTTACAACATTGAAGAGATGAAATGAATAAGCAATGAGTTGTTGCTCATATCTTGCTCAATAAAGAAAGAAGATGAAGAATTCTACAAGATGTTATTCAACTATCAATCATATATATCTTGGAAGAATTATGAAGAATTAAGGAGTTGTTGCTCATATCTTACTCAAATAAGAAGATGAAGATAAGAAGAATACAAATTGTTGCATTTAATTTAGATTATATTCATCTATGTGGAAAGATTGTAAAACACAAGAGTTGTTGCTCATATTGTTTTATTTCTTAAGAATCTTAATGTAAGTTATTTGTACACAAAAGTTGTTGCTCAGAATTGTGTCAAACAATATGTAATTAAGATAAGAGTAATC